AAAGATAATCATTACCTTGTCATTTAAATAATGTATTTGTTATTTTAATTTGTACACAAGGTATAATATGTGTAAAGATAATCATTACCTTGTCATTTAAATAATGTATTTGTTATTTTAATTTGTACACAAGGTATAATATGTGTAAAGATAATCATTACCTTGCCATTTAAATAATGTATTTGTTATTTTAATTTGTACACAAGGTATAACATGTGTAAAGATAATCATTACCTTGTCATATAAATAATGTATTTGTTATTTTAATTTGTACACAAGGTATAACATGTGTAAAGATAATCATTACCTTGTCATATAAATAATGTATTTGTTATTTTAATTTACCGTTCTCTTGAGCATCTTAAGGAGCTGCAAATAATGAGTGGTGTAAATCTATGTTAGTCTTTATAGTAATATTACTATTGTTTAATAATTAATATGAAGTATATTACTTGAGAAACTGATGAACAAAAAAATGATGGCTTCAACCTGGGACCCCCACCAATGGTGCTGTACCCACTGAGCTATCCAAAAGTACATGCTGTCCATGTGTTATATTGTGATCATACTCGTAGAGAGAGACTTCATGAGTGAAAGGTCATTGTACTCTTGAATAACTCAGTGAGTAGACTACTAGTCATTATAGCTAGGGGTTCTGGAATCAGGTCTGGTCCTTCAATCACTTTTTTGCTTATCAGTTTTTCAAGTAAAATATTTAATATTAATTATTATGATGTAATAATGTTACCATTTCTCTGGTTCCTAATGGATTTAAATAAATAATTGTTGGTCATTAATAGCCATGATTTAGTCTTTGTACCTATCATAACATCGTATTGTGATCCTACTCATTGTGAAAGGCTTTCTAAGTGAAATTTGTGCTGTTTGATAACTTGGCGGTAGAGCACTGGTCTTGTTAGCCAGGGATCTGAGGTTTAATTCCCAAAGTCACCTTTCCCTTGTCAGTTTTCCAAATCAAATATTTAATATTAAATTTAACATCATATTATTCATGCTACTATTATCTGGTTATCCTGTGAGAAGTTTTCGTGGTACTTTGACTTGTCAAACTTCTCCTAGTTGTTATGAGATTTCTATTCTTTCTTTGTTATTGTTTGTCTCTCCATCTTTCGACATAATCATACGTAATCACATTTTTCCAGGGAATCTGGGTTCCCGAAGGTGAAAATATCAAACTTCCAGTTGCCATTAAGGTCCTAAGAGAAGGCAGTGGATCATCAACAAATAAAGAATTTTTAGAAGTAGGCTTACAGGAATATTAAAACATTGTATCTATTCTTGCCAGTAGACTTACTAGAATATTAAAATATTACTTGTATTCTTACTAGTAGACTTGCAGGAATATTAAAGTATTGTTTGTATTCTTGCCAGTAGACTTACTAGAATATTAAAATATTACTTGTATTCTTACTAGTAGACTTGCAGGAATATTAAAGTATTGTTTGTATTCTTGCCAGTAGACTTACAGGAATATTAAAACAATGTATCTACTCTTGCCAGTAGACTTACAGGAATATTAAAACATTGTATCTATTCTTGTCAGTAGACTTGCAGGAATATTAAAATATTGTATCTATTCTTGTCAGTAGACTTACTAGAATATTAAAATATTGTTTGTATTCTTGCCAGTAGACTTACAGGAATATTAAAACATTGTATCTATTCTTGCCAGTAGACTTACTAGAATATTAAAATATTGTTTGTATTCTTGCCAGTAGACTTACTAGAATATTAAAATATTGTATCTATTCTTGTCAGTAGAAATACTAGAATATTAAAACATTGTATCTATTCTTGCCAGTAGACTTACAGGAATATTAAAATATTGTATCTATTCTTGCCAGTAGACTTACTAGAATATTAAAATATTGTTTGTATTCTTGCTAGTAGACTTACAGGAATATTAAAACATTGTTTGTATTCTTGCCAGTAGACTTACAGGAATATTAAAATATTGTTTGTATTCTTGCTAGTAGACTTACAGGAATATTAAAATATTGTTTGTATTCTTGCCAGTAGACTTACAGGAATATTAAAACATTGTATCTATTCTTG